TACCAAGTGTCTGTGGAAACCAGGAAGAAGAGGCTTGAAGAAATGTCGATTCGCCATTATCAAAATCCCTGGATCTCTCTCAGCCTCTACATTGCATGGAGGAAAGAGACAAAGAGTGTTGTGATGATAAACAAAAGATTTGACCAAGCTTAGAGAGCTTTTAATGAAAGGGTTTTGGTTTTGTCAGACTTTTTCCTCAACTTGGAGACGGTTTCCATTGGTGAACTCTCCTTGAAACTCGACATTTTTTTAAAGATTAATATACCAAATGGTGCAACAACAACAAAAAAAAAAAAACAGATATATAATACCAAACTAATATTTGGCAATGCAAAATCATAAAGTGGTGTATCGTCAAAAGGGATTTGATAGTGGAAATGTAATGATTCTTCCCTTATGGCGCGGAGAAAAGTCTTTTTACCTTAGTTGTTGGAGCCACATACCGAGAAGGATTAGCGTTCTTCCTCGTCTTTTTTAGTTTAGATTACAGAAAACAGTTCGGGCTACAATGGTCGGCCAAATGAGATTGGGACTACTTTATTGTCAGGCTGAAGCTTCTCTATGAGTTGGGCTTCTAAGCAGATGGGCTGATTTTTCTTGAACGACCTTTTTGAGATGGGCTTAAGTAATTCTGGGCTGAGTCCATCTTCCTAGATGGGGGGAACCCATGTCTAACATTTTTAATAAAGTTTAACTTGGTGTGATGTTTATCATATTAAAGTTAAAATTTATATATTTACAAAATTAACCTAAAATCTTTTAGATCTCATTCACCAGTGTAAATGAATTAGCATTTATAAAATATATGACATGAATTATTAGACCGGTTATCAGATTTAAAGTTGAGCTAATTCGTTTTACCATGTAAACATGAAATCATACATAATTTAATTTGTGTGATTTTGCCAACTTGAACTCTTAACCTTTTTATTTTCACAAAATACAACTTTCACAATAATGTAGTGACTTTTTCACAAAATACTTTACTTTTAACTTGAATTTGGTTTCACAAAGTATTTCACAAACATATAGAAAATCATTGGTTGTGATTCATCTACAAAAGTCTAGTGATATATTTGGTTTTTTTCTTTCAAAATTATTTTAAAAAAATCTTTTTAATGTTAAATTTATTCAAACAAAAAAAGACCTTTTTACGATAAAGTGCATCATAGTTTGATTTTTGAAATTAAATCTAAAATTGTTAGTTTAGACTAAGTTCTAGTACTAAATCAGAAGATGATATTCTCCTCAAATCTTTCATCATCGCCAAGATAGAGTTTAGGCGATATTTCACGATCTTGTCGATAATCTTCACCGGTCTCGCCGGCGTTGAGAGCTCATAATGGAGAAGAGCTCTCAACGCCGGCGAGACCGGTGAAGAGCTCTTTGTTATCTCCATATGCCATAAACAGAAGCTTGAAACACATACCTCATAATGAAGAGAAATATATGATCATGAGACGAACACTACAAAAAAAAAGGTGGTTTGTGTCATTTATTTTGTTAGTTTACATCATTTTTTGATTGATACAACTAAAACTATATCATTTCCGTGAGTGATTCTAAAAATGGTGACTCTAATATTATGTATCAATAAAAAAGACCGAAACAAATATTTTCATCATTTGTTATAATTGATGTCAATATGTGTCACTTATAATAAATGAAGCTAATCTTTACATCAATTGTATAAATGATCTTAAATATTTGTTTCGNTTATAGCAAGTGATGTTAAATNTTTNTTTCGGTTATAGCAAATGATGTTAAATATTTATATCATTTATTTAGTTGATTTTGTAGTTACATCACTTATAAATAAGTGATTCTAGAATTCGTTTCAATTTTCATAAATGATTGGAAGAGTTATATCATTTATCAATAAATGATGATAATATTAGTAACACTCAGTTATTTGATGTTAATAAATGTGTCAAATTTACAAATGATATTAATCATTCGTTTTGCATCATTTTAGATTTGCAACCGATGATTATTTCACATCAATTACAAATGACGTTAAAAATTTTCGTTTTATTTTAGTTAAATTATAAATATAAACAAATAATTAAATTCAAATATAATCATTATATAATTTTAANAAATTCAAAATAATTATATTAAATACCAAAACGCATAATCCAACAAAACACATAGTTCAACANGAATAAAAAGCCAAACCAAATGATACGATAAATAAAAATCCTAACTGAAAATGAAACATAAATCCTAATTAAAAACTAAAACTAAAATCCAGTGATCATGACTCTTGACGTTCCTAATCTTCACTGACTTCCTGTCTTCACTAACTTCCTGGTAATCCAAACAAACCAAATGTCGTCCCTATTCTTCAGTGACTTCCTGTAAAACAAAATAANAAGAAACAAAAATAAGTATCANCTTAATACNTGAGTTCTCTACAAATTCAAGTTAAAATGATACATACCTAACAAGGAAAAGTCTTGCGATAAAGAGAAGTTTTGCGTGCTCAGCAGATTTGCATAAGCTGCCCATTGAGACACCTATAACATTTTTTTAAAATAATTAGTTTGAATCTTAATTTTAAAATATATTAGTGGCATATAATCTCTGAAATATAACTATCATAATCTTACCCGATCACCAACATTAGTAGGAAGCAGCTTCTGTATAATTCTTGTCAAACTTTCGACTTGATCAGACAATGTCGTTATCTTTGTTCTCATCTCAGCAACTTCAGCATNTGCAGCCTCAGATCTTATTGCAACAGAACGTTTCANTAATTTNNAAGGCGTCGGTCCACGACCAACACAACGCACTCTTCCAGAACGCTCNGGCCCAAATACCCGAGAATATTCATCACCCAAACAAGCTGTGACATTTCCTGACACTTGCGTCNGTGGATTTTGGGCCAACAAAAGTGTAANCTCATCCTTAAAAATACATGAACAGTATAAGAATCATGTATATTATAGTAAAATCCATTTCAAAAAGTAAATATCACATGTGATTCATCTTTTCTTAAACGAAGAGCTAAAGAATGAACAAAAATAAAGGAACTAACCGCATGCTTTTTAGCTTCATCAGATACAAAATTTCCATTACTTTTCTTGCGAGTTTCAATGAACAATTCCGCTCGAGATGGTNTTTTACCAGTGCGAATTTTCTTGATTAGTCACATNCATAATCAATACACTATATTAGTTCTTTAGTCTACACATGCCATTGCNAATGATTGTCATATATGACACAATTAGTCAAATGATAGAAAAGAAAAAGTTACTCACAATGTTACGTCTTTGCCTTGCAAAACTTCTTCTTCCACATAAATGAGGACTTTTATGGTTNTTTCGGCTTTTGGTATTCCGATTTTGCATCCTCTGAAACCAAAGTGTTGATAAAAAGTTACTTGAATGTGAAATAATATGTAAGTGAAAAATTAGTATGTAAACTATACCTTCCACTTATTAGTGAACCTCATGTCAA